CCAAAGGGGTTAATTTGTGAGTAGGCTAAATCAAGTTTCTGGAAGCTACCCACATCGGGCCCCCTTCACTTACCTTTCTTCTTCTAGGGTGCCCTTAAAAGCAGTGGGTCCCAAATCCTGTCCCAAGCCTACTTCTCTTCTCTCGTTATAATTTGTCCTTTAGCACATTCACCTTCAACCATGGCATAAACTCTACCTCATGGTAACTGACTCCCCAGTCCTCTACTTTAAGCCAAGGCCTTTCAACTATTCTAGCATCCCTAACTGCTCAGCAAATAATCCCACTTCAGCAAGGATCACCACTTCCCACCCAGCACCAATTGCTACTCATTGCCTTCCCCCTGTAAGTAGCGCTCCTTTTCATTCCTCCTTTCTTCTTATCAGCAATACTATAACGCTCCTTGTAGATATTTATTCACTTTCCTCTTCCTTAACCTTGTGCAGAACCAGCCATCAAATCTTCCTTCATGAGGATCTCAGCCCCTTTTGCGGGAGTCTGACAAATCCAGGAAGGACACTAACAGTGTGTCACCGTGGTGTGGAAGAACCCAGCAGATGGATCTTAACCAGGTCAAGAGGTCACTTAGAATGCTGGAGACAGATGCAGTCCAAAGGTCAAGCACAGAGCAGAGCCAAGGAAGGGAGCCAGAGGTCAGCACTAGAATAGGAAGGTCAGCTGTCCATCAGACCCTCCAGGGCTGGTGTGAGGACATGGTGAGCGGGAGGTGACTAAGTCAGTAGCAGAGACTGGGTCTGTCGTCTGCACCTTTGAATCCCCAGACATTAGCACATAGCTGCTTATAGTGAACACCCAATAAATGCCTATATTCACAAATCCAAGACATTTATTATAACCTTTCATTCAAGACTTCATATAAAGCAATGTTCTCTCGCTTTCATTATTTTAAGCCACCAAGTAGTGTTTGGGGAAGACACACTAGATACGAGCAACATCCATCCATGTTTGGGGTGTCTGGAGAAGTAACCTGGTATAATGGATAAATAAGGAAGTAGAGAACTTTCATATGATTTAATAATATTTCATGGGGTTTTGGTTTAACAATTCAGGTGTTCAATCAGTATTAAAAAGCCTTCTGAAAATTGCTTTAAAAACAATGTAGAGATCAAAAATGTTCTACAGATAGATTTTTGTGATGGTGACTTATTTTTATTTTTTTGGCTTGGGATAAAACTTCCAGTGACTAAGTTACCTAGCAGTTCCAAGGGTACTGCACTTCAAACAACATAAAGGAAATGAAGGCAAATTGCTCTTGAAAACTGTTGATTGAATCAAACAGTGCCTGTAATGATGATAAACATTATGAGAACTGCAAAAAGAGTGGTTCCAATTAAAATGATGTTATATAAGACATCATTCTAAATATATATGTGTAAACTAAATTAATACATTAAGTATTAGTAGACATTTGGCACTTTCCTATAAACAACTAAAAGTTGTATATTCCAAGTGGTCAAAACACTTCTTATATATCATCTCATTGAAAAATGGGGAATCTGTGCCATGCATTATATTTGTTGAATGAAATAATGAATGTATAAAAATGTATTACAGACTAAACTTAATTAAATATTAGCATTAGGAATAATTTACTCACTAATCCATCAAACCAACATTGATTCAGCTACTATGAGTGAATCGATTAGGCAGGGATCAGAATAATGTATTATATACATCATTGGTACTAAAAATCTACTTTCTACTGGAATGTCGATACCTAAAGTAAGAGAAATATTTTCTTTACCTTCTTATGATGAAAAATTTCAAATATGCAGAAAGTAAAAAAGTAATCTAACAAACATCCATATAACCTCTATTGTCAACAGTTATTAACATTTTCCCAAAATTGCCTCATGTATATACTTAATTTTTGATGGACCATTTGAAAGAAAATCATGACTGTCATAACACTTCACCCTCCTAATACTTTGGCATGCATCGACAAAGATTAACATTCTCCCACGTAACTATAATACCAGTATACACCTAGCAAAATCAACAATAATTCCATAATAAGATATATTTCCAGTCCATATCTGGATTTCCACAGTTGTGCAAAATATGTATTTTTTAACCTTTTTTTTTTACAGAACCAAAGGAATAGGATCCAATTAAAGAACACATACTACATTTGTTTGTGGCTCTTAAGTCCCCTTCCCCACCCATTTTCCCTCTTCTTTTCTTCTTTCCAGCTTGATTGAGGTACAATTAGACAAATTAAAATTCTATAACATGTACAACATGACTTGATATAGGTATACTTTGTGAAATTATTACCACAATCAAGCTAATTAACATATCCATCACCCTCACCTAGTTACCATTTTTGTGTGCAGTGAGAACACTTTAGAGGTACTGTCTTACTAAATTTCAGTTATATTATACAGTATTGTTACCTGTAGTAACCATGTTATACAATCAACCCCAGAATTTATTCATCTTATAACTGAAGGTTTATGTCTTTTTAACAACACCTCCCATTGCTCTCACCCCCCAGTCCCTGGCAACAACCATTCTACTCTGCTTCTGTGAGTTCAGCTTTTTTAGATTCCATGTATAATTGAGATCATACAGAATTTGTCTTTCTGTGTCTAGCTTATTTCCTTTAGCATAATGAATGTACTCCAGGTTCATCCAAGCCAATGCAAATGGTGGGGTCTCCTTCTTTTGTATGGCTGAACAATATCCTATAATATTCTAATTTATTCTATATAGCATGTATGTGTGTATTAAAACATTAGCATATTCTAATATATTCCACAGTGTGTGTGTGTGTGTGTTTATGTATAAACACATATTCTCAATCCATTCATCCACCTGCAGACACTTAGATTGTTTCTGTATCTTCACAATTGTGAATAATGATGCAACAAACATAGGATGGCAGACATCTCTTCAAGATACTGATTTAATTTCCTGTGGATATGTACCCAGAAGTGAGATTGCCAGATCATGCAGTAGTTCTATTTTTTAATTATTTCAGGAAATTCCATTCTGTTTTCCGTAACAGTTGTACCCATTTACCTTGCACCAACAGTATACAAGGGTTGCTTTTCCTGTACATCCTCACCAATGTTTGTTCTTCCTCGTCTTTTTGGTAACAGTCATCCTAACTGGTGTGAGGTAGTACCCCTTTGTGATCTTGATTTACATTCCCCTGATGATTAGTGATGTTGTACATCTTTTCACGTGCCTTTTGGGCTTTCATATGTTTTCTTTGGCAAAATATCTATTTGGGTCCTTTGCCCATTTTTAAATCAAGTTATTTGAGTTTTTTGAGTTGTATGAGTTATATGTTTTGGGTATTAACCCCTTGTCAGATAGATAGTTTGCAAGTATTTTTTTTCCCATTCCCTAGGTTGCCTTTTCCTTTTGCTGATTGTTTCCTTTGCTGTGCATGAGCTTTGTTTTGCTATGGTCCCATTTGTTAATTTTTGCTTTTAAAGACCAAGTCAGTTATCATATAGAAATTTCCACATTGTGGATCATCTGTTTGTTGCCTCACGGGGTCATTCACCATGTTCCTCTATCATGATATTTCTTATGAAGTGGAAGTTAGATGTAAGAGCTTGACTAAATTCAGGTTAAATGTTTCATTAGTGTATTGAATATTACACCATGAGGGAGCACAGAGTAGCTAGTTGTTGTAGCATCTGTGATGTAATCTGATCACCTGGTTAAGGTAAAAACCTTAGTTTTGTGATTAGGGAGTAACCTGTGGGGTGGGTGATACTTTAACTTTTCACTTATTGAGTCTAGCAACTGTTGAGAATTTTTGCCTGAATCAATGATTTCATTAGAGAGTTGTAAAATGAAATGTATACTTTTGACTATCCTCCTCAATGATCAAATTCCACTTTTCTCCAAGCACGTTTTACAATCTTATATATGTTCTTGGAAATTTAGAAGGTTGAAAGTCCATGATTTTAAGCATCATAGCTTATTGTAATGGAAGAGACCTAACCTTCTGTTTTCTTTTGTGTTTTCAGCAAAATGGGAAGCCACATTTTTATGATAAACCAGTTATTGAATCTTTTGAAGAAGCACCTCTTCACGTTATGGTTCTCACTTATTTTGGATATGGAGTTGTAACCCTATTTGGCTATTTCAGAGACTTTCTGAGAAACTGGAGAATAGAAAAATGCAACACAGCTATAGAGCGAGATGAACAAAAAGTACGTAAGTACATTTCCAGCATCTTTGTCAATGCCTGTTTTCCTCTAGTGTTCTCAAAGTAATGATGCATGCACAGATACTGAAAAAGAGGGGGGCACTCAGGAAATACTCAGGGTAACTTCTACTCATGTCCACTCCCAAAACACCATCCCTTGCATTTTCATGGACTTGTTTCTACAAATGATTATTGAGCAACTACTATATTCCAGATACTGAACTAAGGGTTTTCTCATACATTAGCACATTTATTTTTTATAATAATCCCATGATATTAATATTTAAATACTGTTTTAGAGATGAATAGATCAAACTCTAAGTGCAAAGACACATGGCTAGGACTATACTGATCTTCTCATTGTAAATGAGTATTGTCTATGATCTATTCTGAAATAGAAAAGTATGTCTAAGTGAAATGTGAGATTTTTAATTATCTAGGTCAGAGCTTCTCAACTTTCATGCTATTGACACTTGGGCTGGAAAATGCTTTGGTGTGGGAGGCTTCCCTGTGCCTTATAGGATTTTTAATGGCATCCTTGGCCTGTACCTATGGCTGCCACTAGATTCTCCCACACACTTGTGACAATCCAAAATGCTTCTAGACATTGCCAAATGTCTCACAGAGTGCAAAATCCATGCCCCAATTAAGAACACTGGTCTAAATACTTTCAATAGTTAACCTATAAAAGTCTATACCATCCTCTTTTCAAATAGAGCTAACAGGACAACCTGGAAATATTCAGAGGTCTGCAAACAGCCTTCATTTTATTAATTTGTTTTCCAATTGGTTCAAATGATTTATGATGCCATGAATCTCTTCTTCTTAAAAATGGCTTTGGAATGCTGTGCTTACAGTCATGGCTCATTCCACATGATGGAACCTTGAACATACCTAAGCACAGAACTTAAGTGACGCATGAATTTCAATCTAATGAGAGAACCTTAAATCCTGTAATTTGATGGCTAGTACCCATGGTAAGATAAACACTTATTACAGTAATGCATCCATGAAAAAAATCATGAAGAACACTTCTTCTGGAATTGTTTTAAGTCAAGGTGGTTACCTTCAGAAGAAAAGCAGGCCCATTTTTATTATTATAGTCCCTCCTACCTTTAGCAAGTATTTGAACACATTTTCTATATCAGCTAATGGGTGCTACTATGCATGGAAGGCAGGTCCTATCATCACAGAATTTGAGGTCTAGCATATAAAAACAGACTCATGAGGAAAACATACGACAAAAAGTGATGATAGGGAGGAGGGTGATCTGTGCCCTGTGATTCCCTTAGCAAATCAACAAGGCACCATATTATGGCTTGAATGGTGAACAGAATTTGACTAGTGAGCAAGGAAGAGATTCTCAGAAGAGTGCACTGCTTGTGCCAAGTCATGCATTAATTAGTTAATCAAGGCCAGATTCTTTTTGAGCATGTACTTTGTGCCAGACACCATGCTACTCTCTGGGGATACCAGAATAATCAAAGCAGATATCATTCTTGCCATCAGGGAGCTAACCATAAAAAAGGCAATTGCAGTAGAAGTTGGTAAGAGACATTTTAGAAGTAAGTAGAGGGCATGAAAGGAGCAAAGAAATGTCTAAACTGAACTTGGTGTTCATTGAAGGCTTCTAGGGAAAAGAGAACATTAAATTGAGACCTGGAGGCTGAAGAGTAAATTATAAGATAAGATCAACAGATGGAGTCTTGAGGGAGTGGAAACATGCTGCCAAATGTCCCAGGGGCGAGGGAATGCATTGTTCATGCGGGAACCAAGGAATTCTGATCACTGACATTTTTGTTACTGAGAGAGGGAGTTTGTGGGGAGAAAGACTGAGAGGCAAGTTGGGACCAGACCATAATGGGATTTTATAAACCATAGGTATTTATTATAAGAACATTGGGAAGGCATTGAGAGTTTTCAGGCAGAGGAATGCAGATTTGAATATGAGAAAGATCATGTTTATTGCCCCATGGAAAAGCAACTGCAGGAGGACACTATGGAGAAAAAAAAAAAAAACAGTTAAGGGGCTGATGCAGAATCCAGGTTTAAGAAGAATGCAGGTGAGACCTTGGGCTGGGACCAAGGTAATGATAGTAAGTTGGTGATAAGAGATAAGACCAAAAATGTTGTTTAAGAAAATGGAATGAAAGGGATAAAAACAATAGTGAGAATGCTTGATATATTGATCTGGTCAATGGTTACATGAGTGTATTTACATGTCAAAATTATCTGTACATTAAGATTTGTGCATTTTATTGTATGTACCTCAGTATTAAAACTTTTTTTTAATAAAACTAAATTTTAAGAAGTAAAATGGAGTTTGGGATGGCTGGTTAGATTTGGGGAATTAGGGAGATAAACAAATCAAAGATTAGACTCAGGTTTATGACTTGGGCAGCTGGGTTAAAAAGAAGGTGGTATTACAATGTTGCTCATGTGAAACCTTCATTAAATTGTATACTAATGATACCTTAATAAAAAAAAGAAGGTGCTATTATTTATTAACATGGGGAATAAAGGAAGAAAACCAATTAGAGGAGGAAAGTCGCCAATTCATTTTTTGACAAGTTGAGTTTGAGGAATTGGCAGTGAGATACAGATGTCCAGACCTCCAAAGAAAAGTCTCATATGGACATGGGGGCATCTTTAGTAAATCATGAACATACCAACATTAATCAAAACCACAGAAGTAGTGAGATCTCCCAAGGAAGGCCTATAGAGAAAAAAATAGAGAAAGGGAGAGAAGAACTTGAAAGAATTTAATAGACGTTAGAGATGGAATTGCATTTCAAGACGAGAAGTAAAGTGACAATTAAAAGCCTTATAATAGTTTAGGAAAGAGATAATTTGTGTTTAACTAGGGAAGAAGTAGATGGAAGGCAGAAGAGAGATTTAGGGAGATATGTAGGAAATAGAATCAACAAGTCTGGGTGGGTGAGTGCACAGAAATTAAAACAGAGAAAATAAGGCTAATCCAAATTTCTACCATGATCAGACACGAGGATGGCAGTGGGACACGCATCATAACAGAATGGTCCTCATTTAGCAAAGGATCACCACAGATACAGTTTTGAGGATATAAAGGTTCTTGAATGGTTAAGGGTATAGAAATGGTTCCATCAAGCATGAAACAAGGCAGCATGCTCCCAGAGAAGGAAGCAGTTTTCCCAGGCCTTAGCAGAGCTGATCATAAAACTGGGAAACTGGAATTAGAAAGCAAGTTCCCCTTGGTCATTCCCAAAAGGATCTCCACAGCCCTTTCCTGACACCAGCTGTTCTGGTCTAGAATGTCTTATCACCAATCAGTCTGCTCCCCAGATTTTTACTCCCACGTGAAACAAAGAGGTATCAGCAAGTTGTAACTGTAGAAAATTTTAAGACAAATCTCCAGATGTTTGCATGAATAAAATGAAACATTTTGCATCCATCTTTTGCATCGTGATACAGCAGCAGGATTCACCTAAAGAGCTTTCCTTCTGAGTAATTTCAAAGATAGGGTCCATTAAAGTCACAATAAATCAACACATTCTAGACTATTTACTAGAACAAATGGGCAAGTCAAATGTAAATTTCTCAGATGTGGCATCTGTTGACAGGCTTAGGCTTCAGCTCTGCCATCTCTTTTCTAACCTGTTTCAATATTTTTGCTCTACCCACCCAACAGGGCTAGTCATTTTGGCTTTACTAAAGCATTGCTTACATTTCCAGCAGGATAGATTTGTATACAGGCAAGCAGGTTCTCAGGCAAGCAGCCTCTGAGATTCAGGAATGGAGGCAGGAAGGTGACTGGCTTGCTCCAGGGGTCCACACCTGTTCACCTGTGAGGGGGCAAAGTGGGCAAGACAGGGCAGATGGATGATGACGATGTCTCAGCACAGGCCTCCGTGGACCCCACAGGGAGCTCTAGGGGTGGAAGGGCCCTTCAGAAGCATTCCTGATTGAGCAAAGGGGATTGAGACCTCCATGATGATAGATGGGACTGTCAGCAGAAAGGGATGTGATCATGAGCCAGGCAGCTCCCTTCAGCAAGCTGTCAGCCTCCAACACTCCCAGCATCAGGGGAAGGAGCGCTTGTGTCCTGAAAAGTGGGACACAAGCAGCACACAGCGGCCTGTGCTGCAAAGCATGATACTGTTGCTGCAGAACAGCTTGAACCACTTCCCAGGAGCAAGACATTGTGTCAAATAAATCGGTAACATGTATTTCTTCACAAAATTTGTGATTTCCCTCCTGTGAGATCTCTATGAAGTAGAGAGCATCAGCCAGTAGACTTATCTTTTATAGGGGATGTTTTTTATTATGTGTTCCTTTCTTTTGATCCCTTTTAGAGATTTAGAGCCTTGCAGAGGTAATCGGTCTGATAAACTGCCGTGGGTACAGTCGCTGTATTCTTTTCCATGGGACTTGGTCTAGTGAAACCGTCTTCAGGGTGACCTTGTCTTTTCAATACTGCCTCCTGCCACATACTTTGGACAGTCTCCTTGCTTTAGATTAGCAAGCTTTCTGAGGCATAGTTTGAAGTTTCTTGCTGGAGACATGGAATATGCTGCTTTCCAATGACTCCTAGTTCTTTTTAGCAGAAATGAGCATTGCTTTATGCTAAAAACCAGTCACTAGGAGATTTCATAAGACAAACCATGAGATCATCCCATAAGACAAGCCAGCCCTGAGCAAAATGACCAGGAAAGAGCACATCACCCATGATGTGGTGGAGAAAACAACTATGGTTTTAAAGAAGATCATAAATGGATCTTTTTGTTTGCAATTACAGTCTTTTAATGTATGTTCATTCTTTTATTTTTATTTTTAATAGAAATCATATATGTTTAAGGTATACAACATATATATACATACATACATATATACACATAGGGAAATGATTGCTATAGTAGCCAAGCTTATTGACCTATCTCCTCAATTCTTTCTTTTCTTAAATCAAATATAAGGATGTATTAATCCAGTTTCCCCATTTTTCTTTCACTGGAATGACTTCTCTCATAC